GATGACATAGACAGAGGGAAAATGAGGAGCACACATACACAGTCATCATAACCTGGCATGCTGCCTTTGATTCCCTGTGCAGCTGCATTCACTGATGCACGTATAGGGCGCGACCCAGATCTGTTCGCTAAATTTAAGAAGGAACGAGGGGTGTTAGAAAACACAAAACAAAGACGCTCTGGGACGCACTGCTCTGTCACTTTGGAGTGTATATGATTCCGCCGACGGACGGCCCCATGAGAGCACGGGGAGTACGAGTGCAAGGCCATGACGAGATGGCTATGAAGCTTTTGTTCTGGGAGCTGGAGCAGCATCTCAAAAGGTAAAATAAAGACCGGGAGTCCCCAGGGAGGCAGTATAGTGTAGCGCTGCTGGGGCCAATCACTACAGTAGCTGCACACAAAGGGCTGCATGGCTATATTGTCCTTTCCATTCAGTCATTCATGGCTTCGGGGCTGCATTAACACTGAGGGATACTTAAAGCAGATACTATAAGGTGATTAACTGAGTACTCATCATACTGTAAGTTCAATTTTATATCTATAGAAAAAATATTGGAGGTGTTAATGTGTAGTAGTAGTATATATTTGTTCCACTTCTATTTGTTCCACTAATATCTCAAGGGGACAGTGAGTAATTGAACCCACCGCGTGTTTATTTAGTCACTGAATTGCTTGCCATATTCTGCAGTTTTGTAACAGCTCTGTTGGTCCATCTGGTCCATCATTTCACATGAAGTCACCCTCTCTTCTGCAACAGAACAGCAACACACAATCACCACAGTATAATTGCTTTACAAGATAAGCTGTGCTCTTTTTTTCGTTTAGAGAATAATCTTAGCATTCACAGCTACACAGTTACTAGTTTGTTAGGTACAGCTGTACAGTCTAATACGACTGACCATCTCGGTGAAATGTATGTTTGTGTTGTATCAGGTGTTGATTCAGCACCATGGTAATTAATTTTAAGGCCGTAGTTAGTGGTAGTGTTGAATTAGACTTCATTATATTGAGGGATTTCTTATCGTCCCTATTTTGTGTGTGTAAGCGCCTTTTATTTTTATATAACCCTGGATAATGTTCTCTGTAACAGATTGGCCTTTATTACAGTCAGATTTGTATGTTTGACATGATAAATAAGGTACAGATGTAAAAGGTGTGTCCTTACATGTATTGGAAATGTCCAATACTAGTATGTGGAGGATAAAAGCAGATAGTAGACCAGACCTCTGTCAAAGGACCTCAAGCTTTGGTCTGCATACAGTTTGGGTTATTTCTGTCTGAAATTGCTTCAGTAGGTCACTGGGGTAGTGTTGTTTCACAGCAAAGCAGCAAGGCCATCAGTTTGCTGACCGACTACAATCTAACACAGTCTGCTTTAAAAAACTGTACTTGTAAAGCAGTATTTTTTGTGATCTCCACCAAGCATCACAGGAACAGGAATTTCACTGATGGAAAATGGACATGGTGATATTGCAGTAGAGTTTAAAATAATGTTGAATGATTATAAAAGAATAATCAACATTTTGTCTTTCTTAGCTGAAATAAAGTAAAATATGAACCATTGTTTACAACTCTTACTAATCTAAACAACCTTTAAACATCAGAAAACATTAACTTCGATCCAGGTCTTTTCTAGTGTTGTCTACTGCTTTAACGCTGGATTTGTTGTTTAAGGCAAGAAAATCTTGTCTCTGACCAGCCGTCAAGTGAATTTTCTTGGAACAGCATCTGGTTTTTCTCTTGGCGAGCTGCCAGTTGAGCCATGTATAGCTCCTGTGTACTTGTGTGTGTTTCTGAGCATGACCACATTAGAAGTAGGTTTTATTCCTCAAAGTGCTGCAGTTGTACCGGCTATTTGGGTCTGGGTAATTGGCTCAACCCTCTTCGAGTCAAAGAAGACCGGAAGAGATAAGTATGGCTTAGAGCCTCTTATTAAGCGATTTGGCTCCTTGTTAAAGTGTTTGACTGGGGGTTAGAGGTCAGCAGAAGCTGACATCAGTACAAATACTCAAAGATATTTGAGCTTCTGTTCACTTTACTGGTGCTTTCATAAGCCGGGAAATGTGCTGTGACACCCAAATTAGCCTAAGCCCTTGTTTTAAAGGTGACTACTGACTTTTAAATTGCTTGGACAGAACTTAACCTGTACAGTCTGTTTTCATGGTTTGGATTCAAGATTTCTTTCAGTTAGCTGCCTGCGATTCAGGCTCTTGATACAACAGTTACACACCGGAGTACTCAGTACCACAAGGACTGGATTTGCTAGTGTATTTTACCTTAACCTCAGTATAGATCTTTTATGCTGCAGTGCCTTTTATAGACGTAACCATACCTGTAGGTTCCCCTTCATTTGTCTTTTTATTTCCACACCTGATTTTATTTTATAAGCTTAACATATTGGCTTTTATTTAGTGTTTCAAAGATTTACATGATCTCCAAATTGGCCACGCAGGATTTTTAAATGTCTCTTTTATGCTGAGGTGTGTGTGTGTGTGTGATCAGAGACGATAATGTCAAGAATGTGTACACATGTTTTTGTGGGTTTTTGGGTGTACATGGAATGTGTGAAAGTGGCCTTTCAGAGTGTCTAGGGAGGGTTGTGTGTGTGTGGGGGGGTCTTGTTCACTAGGATGCCTGTGGTGGGAATTTCTGTGTGAAGGAGTCGTTTTTAGGTGTGTCTGTGTGACCAGGATACTCCCCTCCATCATGTGTTGTGAAGACAGAAGTTTTGGGTGTGAGGAATTAGTTGTTTTAAGTTATTGATTGACCTCTGTAAAGACATTTGACAGATGTGTAATCTCCCAGTGAAACGGGTCAAATAGTATCTTGCAAGCAACAGTTGTCAACCCGGCGGACCACACAGGAGTTAAAACCACACAAGACATGTTTTCATCAAGTCGCTGACAGTCCAGGCGTGTCTCCAAGACAAATTGCTTGAGAATATGCCAGTTACACCTTATTTTTGAAGTGGTTCGATACTGCTACAGTGGAGTATCATGTTGCCTGTGCCATTCTTACTGCTTTGCATCAATTCAAACCACGTATGGCTGTAAGCATATGAAAGATGTCATTTCAAATGTCTTAATAGGGCAACAAAACTTCATGGTAGCGACTGAGATTGGATTTGACAAAACCACTCAACAGTTTGTTTAATTCAGACAGAAGTTCAATCAGTGGCGATATCTTGTTAGTATATTTTCACCCATGGGACTGTGTTCATCCACTGTGCACAAAAGCTTTTTAAATGTCACCCTTTGAAACTACTGGAAGGTACATATCAATCAGTGCAGTCTCCAGCGTCACACGTGACTGCCTCTGTGTCTGTATGTGGTATTTGCCCTTTGTGCTAAGACAGACTCAGTCTTTTGAAAATGAATGCAAGTGTTTAAATACTGTTTTGCCAGGCTTCCTTGAATGTGGCTCAGACTCCACAGTTCTGCAATGCTGGACAGGGCCACATGGGGGCAACATACGTAAAGACATAGTAGTCCAAAGCATTTTGTGTGAATACCTGCCCAGAGGCTTAATTCCAGAGTATAATCCTCTAGACATCATGCTGTTACTGTAGATAGTGTGGATCATCTGGATTATTTTCAGAAATGTGTTAAAGTATGGTGGAAAACATTTTTGTTGCGCTGGTATAATTTTTTTTTTAATACTGTTAAAGTAACCACGAACAGCGCGCCTCTGTATACTACTTTATTGTTCCCAAAACGGAGCAATGCCTAAAGGGGCTGTAGTATAGAAATGCTGTGGTGAGCAATTTTACACATTGTAACATCTCTAAAAATGAGCAAAACGATGCAAAAACCCCCCACAAAATATGTAAATGTGTGATCTAAACCTCCAAAAAGGCCTTTATGTTGACGTAATTTTGAGTGGTAAACTTAGTAGCGGAAGGATTCCCTGCAAGTGTTCCCCGGGGATGGAAAAACACTTCGCTTTCTCGTTAGGGTAGATAAGAACATGATCTCCAAGGTTAAACTAATATACATTCCTGTGTTAATAATACCCAAGAAGCAGTAGCAGCCGGGCACGTTCATATTTAAACAAGAGCTGCTTCGTGTGTATTGTCGTTAAGACTGAACAGACCAAACTCTCGCCCTTCCCCCGCTTGTTTTTCAGCACTACAGCTCTTTCTTCTTCCCTTCTCATCCGGTTTTCCCCGGTTTCATCCACCTCCTCTCCGGTCTTGGAACATTTTTATGCAAAAAAAACGTGTCAGCTGAGCGGCAGGTGGGGGCGTTCCTGAATAAATTATTCAGACGGTCTCCGTCTCGGCCAATCAGGGGGCCGGCCTCTCTGTTTGTCGCTGGATAAAATATGCTGGCTTGGTCCAGAGCTGCAGGGTTTTGTATAGAGCCGAGATGAGCTAACCTTGGATGGTACTTGTACCGCTGCGGTCGGTGCACGAGCTTCACCGTACATAATATAGAGTAGCGCGTGTGGATGTGTCTCGCGGAGCTGCTCTTGTGGAGGGACTGTTTGTGAAGGGACTGTAAAACATGACCAGCATGAATACGCCGTGCTACACCGTGGCTATGGATCTAGGCGTCTGCCAGCTGAGAAATTTCTCCATATCGTTTCTTTCGTCGCTACTGAGCGCAGAGAGCTCGCACGTCAAGCTCGACAACAGGTAAATAGTGTGTTATGGAGCACTTTCTCTACATACACCGCTGCATCTGTAGTCAGGGCTCCGCTGCCTTCACTTGCACCAGTTCTGTCCCCGCTGCGTGATGGAGGTTGCGCTCAGTCGATGGATGCTCCGGTATCAGGCCACACTGCCATGAACGCTGTGTAGGAGAGGTGTGCCACAATGACACCGGGGCGGTGATTTTATAGAAATTTCCAGAGGCTTCCTGTTACTACCCACATTTCTATAAAGGGATACCGGGGTGGTTTGCCGTAGCCTGCGTCTCCGGCTTTGTTTTGTTTTGTTGTACTACAGCACAGATCGGTTTAAAATGCTTTACACATTTCTCTTTTCTGCTTTTGCAGTTCGTCTGGAGCCAGCGTTGTGGCAATAGACAACAAGATCGAACAAGCAATGGTGAGTTTCCGGATTATGTCCTTACACTTATGAAAACCCTTTTAGTCCAAAGTATCATATCGTATGGATGTTTGTTTGAATGATAGGACCGACTTACATGCAGTTTGATCTTCTGCGTAGTTTTATCGTAGTATTCATGTGTGGGACAGGGACAATAACGTTATTCATTTAAATCTACGGCAACAACACAACTAAGAAGTCTTTTGTATGTTACTGTGGAGTAAATGTTACTTGGTATTAAAATGTGCTGGTCACTTTCATAAATAACTGTGCAAGTTATGATAAATATGCCAATGTGAAAGTAAAGTTAACGTTATTATTAGTTAGCTTAAATCTAGCGTCCTCGACAAAATAACGGAAACAAACTACGCACCAACCGCTGCACCTTGAGACAGTTTATCAATGCAGCACCATTAGTTGTCTTCTTAAATTCTGGTATTATAAAATCAGGAATTCAGAGCATTTCCAAAGAAACCAAACGCAGTTTTATTTTCTGTTTCAGCCGTAGAGACTGTGGTTTCACTGTGTTGTTGTTCCTGGTGTCAGCTCTGTTGCTAGGCAAACCTGCAGGCTCACACGCCTGGTTATAAATATCTCGGCCTCTGATTGGCTCACACGTGAATGTGGGCAGAGTTAATGACGTAGCACCCTGGGAATAAACTGTTTTATGACCAGATTAGATTTGATGAGGCATCCGGAGTCATGCGTGATTAGTTAGTTATACTGTCAGGTAAAAATCATTGTGAACATATTAAAAAGTGTATTCCCACCGCTTTACTGGCAGTAAGCCCATTTCTTGTTGGGCATTTCAATCACAAATTGATTTCCACTAAACATATTTCACTATTGAATATGTTGTCAGCGCTTTATTAACCATTCATAAAATACATACAATTGTCTGTATTTTTAAAATCACTGTTTCTAATTGACACAATTTGTGTGTATTTTCAGTAAAGTTATTTTTTTTTTTAGGAGCGGTTGTCAGGACTGGCTTTAAAAGCAAACCATTTTTTAGTTCAAATTTATTGATTGAAGTGTTTCACATGGTAATAGGTTACAAGGCCAGGTAGTGCCACATATGTTTATATCATTAAGATTTTACCCATTTTCAATATATTTAACATTACTTTATGTGTACTTTATTGTCACAAGTGCAGTTTCCCACCAGGACCCCATGTGGTTTAGCTTGATATACAGTTGTGGTCTTGGGACATTTATTAGAATTCTTTGTTACTCGTGATTATTTCTCATTTATAATCTAATTTCTGGCATCATGCAACATCTAAGACAAAAACAAAAATAGAGAAGCTTTGGTTTAGTTCCTGACTCTTCTTTTATCCAAGTTTGTTGATCCAGTGATAAACCCATATCTCTGTCTGCCTCAGGACCTGGTGAAGAGTCACCTGATGTATGCTGTTCGAGAGGAGGTGGAAGTCCTAAAGGAGCAGATAAAGGAGCTGATTGAGCGAAACTCTCAGCTGGAGCAGGAGAACACCCTGCTGAAGACACTGGCCAGCCCAGAGCAGATGGCCCAGTTCCAGGCCCAGGTTCAGACTGGCTCCCCGCCTGCCCCTCCAACAGCTGCCACACCGGGACCCCCAAGCTCTGCCACCCTTGCCCAGCCCACCTCGCACAGCTCCGGCCCCTTGGCGTAGCCTGGTCTGCACTGACAGACAGACCAATTGACAATTTTTTTTTTAGTTTTGCTGCAGCAGCAGAGCTAAACCTTGCCTTCTACAGCAGCAAGGTTACGCTGTTAAGACAAGAATTTGCACATATTTATCTCTCAGAAGGATGCAGCCAGCGGGACGAGCGATGCAGTGCTGTACAGCACCTTGGGGGGTGACAATCTTGAGATACTGTATTTGGAGGGGTTGGTGTCAGAGGAGGACTGAATCATCGAACATTTGCCAAATAACCCTTGGACATATCAACTAGAATGTCTTACCAAGAAGAAACAAAATAGCTTATCAGTGGCGACAATATACTTAACTATAGATTTAAAAAAAATCACTGTGCCTGTGTATGGATTTTAAGTGATGTCGATTTTACTGATGACAGCGATGGAAGAGTAGGAGGTGGAGAATTGTATTTGGTTGTTACCTTTATTATATTATTTTTTTTTGGCTGAATGGTGTAAATATGAAGTTCACTCCAAGGCTAGATCCTAACGTTACAGGTTGAGAGAGAGAGAGAGAGAGAGTTAAAAAAAAAAAAAAGCCTTTTCAGAGTGACAAATGAAGAATGTGAGCAATTCTTATCAAAGTCCCCATCTGGAATGGGGGAGTTTGGGTGGGAGGGTATTTTGAATAACACTTGGCAGAATTGATGATGTTACTTCAACAGTGGGTTGGTGGGACGGACAAAAACATGGTTTCTTATGGAGATGATATTCTATTTCAGTATTTCACTTTCAAGCTCCTCATTTTGCCCTCGACGAAGCTCATCATTGCTGTTTTCTCAACCCTGCAGTGGCATGTACCTTAAACCTTATTTGACAGGGTTGAGACATGGGGCTACGCTGCATTTTCTCTTTTCCTAAAAGTTTGATGGGCAGAAGATGATGTATATTTCTGTATAGTGTAAGTACCATGTAAAATAGTGAGGGGGAAGGACAAAAACAACAGATGCTATCTTGGTCACACAGATTGAAGCGGATGAGCGAGGAACGTGCTGGTCTTGCCCAGTCTGTGTCGTATCTATTTTTAATGCTGTATTTTCAAGGAGTTTAGGTTATTTAACTGACAAACACACAGCCAACAATGTCCATAGCCCTTACTGCAACATTAACTCCTACTGTAAAACCATGTTCACTTGGCTCTTTTTCTTTCTGGAGTATTGCACCTTTATGATTTTCTTCTTCATTTTTTGACAGTGAAGTACTTCTGGATGAACAATATCTTACAACTCAACATTTAAAAAAACAAAAAACAAATACAAACTGTGGAGCTGTTTTTTCATTTTTTTTTTTTCATTCTGTGTATCAGTTGTATGCTCATGTTCTGTGCATGTTTCTGCGAAGACCGGATAAGATATTGTAACATACATACCACAATTGCACTTGATAGCTGCACATCACAACTTTCAATAAACATGCTTAAGGAAGAATAACCACCTGGTCACGATCTCTTTGTTATTCTCCCTCATGGCTGTTGAACTCTGTCTGTCTGGAGGGTGAGAGTGTTGAAAGGCACTTTTGTTCCTATGAGCATCAAAGTCACATGTGGAGTCATTCTGCCTCCTACATGCATGATATGTAGAGTCTCTGCTTCAGGGTTGTAATTGAATGGCTCCCTACTATGTTGTTGAACAAAGTGGTGTTTGGATTGAAGCTGCACATTTAAATTAAAGTTCAATCAAAAACAACTGGTAACATTTAGAGGTCAGATAATTCTCTCAGGTTTCTATGAAATTTGGCACAATTTAAGGGTGAAAATCTGACAAAATTCTAATTCAAACAATGTAGTTTGATCTCCAGAATATTCTAGACAAAATGTACCAAAAATATCAAGAAAAAGCTGAGTACAATAATCCCACATAAGTCTGGTCACATAAGTACCCCTTTGGGGAGGGGATCAATCGGTGCGATTAGAAGGAAACCTCCTGGATGTTGATATAAAGATAAATATATATATATATATATATATATATATATATAATATACAATTGCTCATCCGGGTTGTAAAGTGCCTCACAGTGTAACAGATTTGTTTTCTCCTGCAGACAGAGACTCTTTCTGAACACACAAGGCGGCTGTGGAGCTGTTCCTGAACAGGTTATTTTATATTATTTTACCTTTATTTAACCCGGTAGGCCGATTGAGAACAGGTTGTCATTGTTAAGGGTGAACTGGATTAGAGACATGCTGATCATGTATTGTTTTCATACAAATAATCAACAGTTTTTCCTTGAATACTACTGTTATTTTGCACACCTAATTACAGGATTTAAAACACACAGCAGTGTTCAGTATTCAGACCCAGAGCCCTCCTGACAAGAAAGCTTTCTTCATGCACTACAACCAAACCGCCACAGTATGTGTGTGCACTGATGAACACAGGGAGAAAAGCAGAAGTAAAACTGTACGCTCCCTAAATGCTCCACATTTATTTGAAAAAAGATTCTTCCCACATAACACAGACAAATACTTAAACAGACAGATATGGCACATTGTCAGCAGGAATTACTGGCTGCACACACTCATATTATCAGTCACACCTTCACACACACAAGCACACAGGTGTCAAGTGAGTAATGAGACACACATGTTCTCCAGCCGGTGTGGTTTTAGACTGTCCATAGAAAAGCTGTCATACCACAGACTGCAACACTGTAAACGCTGATCGGGGGCAGGGAGATGTCCCGAGGAGGGGCTGAGGGAGGAGGTGGTGGTTGGGGAAGCTTCTCTCTGAGATCTGCTGGATCTGTAGCTTTGGCCTCTGGAAGGGATTAGGGGTGTGCAGGTGCAGGCTAGCCGGGCTCAGTGAGGGCATGGGGTGAGGGGGTCAGGAGGCTCTTTCTGGATCACATTCCCATACGGATGCTCTGGATGATCTGAAATATGGCTGAGAGCAACAGACCGTTTCTGTTTAGTTTTTGTTTGCTTTTCATAAACATAAACAATTTCACAACCAACATACAGAAACAAAGATGTCAAAAATGCGGCATGTTCTCCTCGGACACACAGTAAATATTCTAAAGGCTTTAAATTCCATTTAACTGCTTCAGTTTCAGGGTCCTTGTATTGTTCATGCTGGCTAACTGTCATCGCTCCCTGGCACACCTGAATAGAGCAGAGCCATTGTTCATGGCTCTTAGTAACACTTGTGCTTTTACTACAAAGTGAAAATGTCTGCTGTGAAAAAGACTTATTAAGTCTAATTGTCTCTGGATTCACCGGAGAATGGACATAGAGCACAAAGAGTTCATTAAACCATTATAAACAGTATTTTTCTCTTATGACAGCATTCATTATTTTGTTTTTATTGTATTTTTTATATCTTCAATTTTGTGACTCTAGCCATATTGGCTACATTAGCTTGCTACCATTTCAGTGTAATCTAACACCAAATTAGACACATTAGCTTACATCCATATCAGTTTAATTAATTAACCAAATTAGCTTATAACAATGTTACATTTGTCATGTTAGTGTAATCAACCACCATATAATCAACATAAGCCTACTATGAAGCTACCATGTTAAATTAGAAGAAAATTACGCAAACACAGTTACCTGATCCACACACAACAAATACAAAGAGGGCAAGCAGCCAGGGACCCACAGGATACTTCTCCTCTTGTGGTCGCTATGGGAGAGACACACACACACATAAAGTACATTAACAATACTGCTACAACAGAAATGTGATAATTGCTGCAGAGCAAAAGTAAAACTACTTGAACATGGCTAGATTCACATAGGGGTTTCCCATTTCCGCCACTCCTGCTTTTTGTATGGTTACCCCTCCTTCTTAAATCCGCCACAACCAATTATCTTGTGTTTTTAAAGTTGGGAAACCAGATGGAGATGTTGCTCCTCAAAATGTCCACAATAACAACTGTGTGATTGCCATGAACAAACAAAAGTGTACACACTGGAAAGTGCTGAGTAAACGTTTTATTTTATTGTTTTTCAAATTGTGGCCTGTCCTCAGTCTAGACTGATTTAGGGAGAAATCTTCAGCTCCACTAGATGGAATCTGTTTGGATATGTTCCATGTTTGTATGCTGCTGGAGAGGATGTTGTTAAAGTCAGTGATACAGCGGTGATCTCAAGTAGCTGTTTTTTTCATTCAGTAACAGCGGTGTGTGTTTATCCTGGGTAATGACTAACTGTTACTGTACACCACAGCCCACATGAGAAAAATGGTCTTTTGGGTGAAAAACTGCAGTGTAATCTTGTTAATGCCCTAAACACTATTCTGGCCACATTCACACCAATTTTATACAGCTAAGACTAGGGATGCTTTTTTAATCTGTTGATCCTTTTTTAAATTATTCCTTAAGTTCATAAATTGTCACATAGCGAGAGAAAGGATTGAGTAAGCCTATTAAAGCCCCTCTAAATCAATACCCTTGAGTAAAATGGTGTGGACTTAAACATAAATGACATACAATAGAAATAAGTGGAAAAAGATCCTCTGCTCTGGAGCTTTTGATTTTATCACACAATCTTCAAGGGCCAAGAAAGGAAGGTCAACTGCGGTTTAAAAAGGTCAAGAATGAACTTTCAACCTCAACTTTCAAGCCAACATGGACGAGAGGTCCTTGGAGTGGCCCGAGGAAATGGCAACCGCGGGACACAATCAAAAGTGACATTGTTTGTTTTGTCAACTGTCTGAGCCCGAGGTGAGGTCTTCACATTACAGTACAAAACCTACATCTATTCAGTTTACAGTGAAATCCTCACACCTGAGAAGCGGCCACCAGTAAATGTTTTGGAAACTGGCTTTACAAATTACTTTTACAGCAATTATCAAAACAGTAGTTGATTTCCTCTCAACTGACTAATTGTGATTACTTTTTCCTTGATTATTCAATTGCTTTTTATATTAAATGTTAAAAAAATTAGTAATAAAATGCCCATCATCATTCCCCAGAGCCCAAGTTGACATCTCCATATTACTTGTTAGCTATTATAGAAATATTTGACAGAAGAAAAATATCACATATTCACATGTGAGAGGCTGAGGAAGTGAATTTTTGTCATTACTTAAAAAATTATTGAAACAATCAACTGATCATCTACTGATTGATATTCGCGCTGCAGTTTGGCATGCATTCAAAACACCCAGCAGCACTGGTTACAGTCTATATAATCATTAAATAGGCGTTTATGTAATTTATCTTACTATTGTACTTCTAACAAAGTAACGTTAAGTTACAGTGTGGAGGGCGGTAACGAGCAGAGTGAATCCAGTCTGAATACATGTTAATGAAACAGCTTGGTGGGTCGTAATTACACTGAATATTTGCTGTATGGCATATGTGTGATAAGCAGGGCACACTCCACATCATCATCACCATCATCACCATCACCATCACCATCATCATCATCATGCTCCTGTACCGGACTGAGCGTCACCTATCTGGGCTAATGTCATGCTGGCATCTCGCTGTCGGCTTACGGCTCACCAGCGTCTTGGCTACGTTTCCTCTCTGCGTGATGTTCTTGCTGTGTTTCTCGTTGGCCATGCGAATCCTCTGTTTAGCCACCATCTTCCGGAACGATTACAATACCCAGGATAAACTGGCCCGTTATCTTCTGGAGCTGCAGGCTGTCGACAGCACCCCTGCATCAAGCTAGCGGACCTCTGGCACAATGAAACCGGAAACTTTCTCAATTCTTTGTCAAAATAAGAGTATGAAACGGTGGTGGCGGGAAAATATTGGCCTTTCAAGTGGAGGCGCGGCAAGACATTTTGTATTTTACAAGCCGCATCGAGTGAATTTGTATTGGCCTCATTATTTTTGTCGTGTTTTTTTTTAATTTTCAAAACAAGATCATTGTAAACTGTCTGTCCAAACGTTTATTTTGAAGGTTGTCGCGGGAACGTACCTGCTTCATGTTGGTTTTCTTCACAGCGCTTCTCTTTGCACCTGGCGGGGAGATGAGCGCGTGGCCAGGGGCGCGCTTCAATCGTCAATAATGAATTTAATTGATTACATTTCGGGAGGGAAAAAGTAGGACAAGTCTGTTCCTATTTTATGTTTGTCAAAGTAAACCAAAAGACAGAGAACAACACTGCAGTTGTAGGATATTTTAAAAAATATATTGATAGTGCTGTAATTGATCCCTGTGGGAAATTCAAATGTTATGTTACAGCAGTAAATGAAACAGGCTGACATGTACGGAAGCAGATAAAGATCTAGCCTAATCAAATGAAAAAAAGGAATAAATTTAAATATTGTTATGATACCATTTTCTTTATTTTAATGACTTCTCTTTGTGGACAGATTTAATAATTCAATTTCATGGGTTTCTTTCTTCATTTTTGATTGTTATTGCTGCTAGTTTTTATTTCTTTTGTTTTTGATTGACCTCTGCATGGGGATATGAGTGTCTCTGGACTATTCACAAACTTAAAGCTGTGGCTGCCTTTTTCTAGGCTATTTATTTTTTGTATTAGGTTGTATTTATGTGTATTTATTCCAATCTGTTTTGATTGTGCATCACTTGACATACAGAGGATGATAATGACCTATCCATTTACAAATAAAATGAAAAGAAAAGACAGGAGGTAAAAGTTGTACTTAGGTGATTGTAGTAGTAAGTAGAAGTAGCTATAGGCTGCCACAGACACAGTCTATGTTCTTATTGAAATATACAACCAGTTGTCAGTTTTTTTAATGCACAAGCTAAAACTACTGCAGTCTAATACAAAAGTCTTGCTATAATTCCTACTTTCAGAGGTTAAAATGTTTGCACCACAAACTACAGCCTCCAAAAGACCAAAAAGTTAAATCAAAACTTCTCTAAACCAAACATAACAGCACGATACTCTAAGAAGATTCTAGGTAGGAAATGGTGCAACATGTATAATCAAACAGAATGATTGGACTGAATGAATTACTCCAGTCCTAATTCCACACTTGCGTGTCACAGTCACGGGAGCTTTTCACTCCAAGATACTCCAGCCTTAAATTATAGCCTTCACTTCTGTACATAAAGTGGAGAAATCACTGCCTGCTGGCAAGATTTCTTAAGGTCTGTGTGATGCGCACAACATCAGAAGTCTGGCCATGTTATCATAATAAAAGCAAACTAGAGAGACCAATATACATTTTTAATTGTAGGCTAACGTGAGGAATGACAACTTGGCTCTATGCGGTATGATGAGCGCATGCTTCTGAATCAGTTACAGCTGACTTACGTCACTCGCTCCATCTGACAAGATGAGCTATCTGGCTGCTCAGAGAGAAAGGAGGGCAGAGAGGGAGAGAGAGAGACAGCAGAGGTTGCCTAGCAACTGCATCAAAAGGTTTGGTTGGGGAGGGACACACAAAGTCCACCAATGAAGTGTGGACCGACACATTCGTGTTGCACTGAAGGGTTCTGTTGGTTTGTCTCAAATAATAACCGTATACTGCTGACATATTATGAAACAACACATGCAGCGACATCACCAGGCCTCATATTGTTATCAGTGCTGAAAGGACGGCACAATGAAGTCTGACTACTTGTTTCCATCCTAGAAGTGTTGGTGTGTGTTTAAGGACCAGAATCAGAATCAGAAATACTTTATTGTTCCCAGACGGGAAATTCTTTACAGTTGCACACTTTGCACTTCAAGGCATTAAAGGAACATTTTTGGAGGGAGCCAGAGTGTTTTTAGCTTAGCTTAGCACAAAAACTGTACACCTATTAAGCTCATTCATTAACATGATGTATCTTGTTTATTTAGATTTTAGCCGAAGAGTTACACGTGGGAGCTACCTCAGCAGTGTATCCATCCACCCAGAACGTCTGCATGAACTTCAGTGTCTGTGACTGTCACACAAAACTTCCCCCTGAAACCACAAATGGTTTTTCACATCCCTCGTCATGTGTGAGAGAGACAGTAGAAGCAAACAGAGGTCCTGGCTGCAGATCAAATGTCCTTGTGCGTTCAAAGTCACCATCAGTGCATGACCTGGATTTCAAGCTGCTCTTTTTCCCATCCCCGGGGTCTCCATTGTGTCTCTCTATGTGTGTGTGTGTGTGTGTGTGTGTGTGTGTGAGAGAGAATAGACTAGAGTTGACCTTTAGGAAAGATGAGCATCAGTAAGCCAATCAAAAAATCATTAGAGAGGGGCTAGGACAGTAACAAAATATTAAAGTTTTTAATTGTCAGCTGGGATGAAACGTTCCAATCCCTCAGTAATACATTCATACATTCTTAATTCAGAGTCCTTAAAAATACCACCTGTACAGATATCTCTGTCTTAATGATTAATTCTTCTGAACAAGTGGACCATCAATATGTGACCATTTCTGCAACCAAACACCAATGAAAAAACTACACAGGAGAAATTTGTATCTGTACCCAGTGTAAAAGATTCAAGTGTTGAAAACGTGTCCGTCTTACAATAATGAATAAAGGTATTTCCTGCTTTAAATAGAAAATCAAAGTTAAAATAAATGAATAAAAATGCATTTTCTCTATTATCATACTGTTGACAACCACTTATCTTATTGCAGTTAGGACTTATTTTCACTTAGATATCTTGCTGCTCAGTACAGAGATCCTGTCTAATGAGCTTTGGAGATTCTATGATATATGGTTTTAGTATTTGTCCATTCCTGATGAAGAAAGATGTGTATGTTACTGTCTACGAGAGGTTTGCAACCAGTGTCACAGTGTTTATGTTGGCTGGTTTAAATGTAGTCAAAATCTCACAGCACTTTGTTTTGGTCCTGTTTCTGTCCTTCTTTATAACTTTCCTCAGTCTGGTGATTTCCATCAGTGTTGAGAAAAAAATGCTTAGAAAGGAGGAAGGGCATTCTTTTTTTCAGTAGCATATTCAAAACCACCCACTCCAGTCAAAATGGCCTTGAAATTAAATGTTACACGGCAAGCAAGTGAGAGGAAATTGCTGTGTGGACAGCGAAGAAACAAGGCATTGTGCAACATATTCATTTTCGTCTACAGACGCCCAAATGTACAGACCAGACGTGCGGAAGTTCTCCATCTGTTCAAACAGTATCAGTAATAACACTGATGTAAGTATAGCGTGACCTATATGTTCTCGCTCTTAGTTAGAGCAAACAAAATGCAGACAGAGGTGGGGGAGGCTGTTTACATCAGGAATACACACAGGAGATACAACTTCATTTAAATTCAATTTCTGCTGCTGTGTAGAACTACCCATCATCCATTGTCACTCCCAAGCTTCACCCACAGTAGCTGTGTTTTGGATCTGTTACACTGAGAATGTTTGATCTTCTGGCTTGTTTACCCCAAAACACCTGCCCCTTTCATTACAGTCCAAACGCACCCTGCGGACGAGAAACATGCAGTTCAACCACCGCACGAGAGGAGGATAAACAGCAGTTAATGCTAGCAAAATAAACCAGAAACGTGAGAGATGAATTCAGGTAAAGAGAGACGAGGGTGGAGTGGTGGAGGAGGGAGGGAAGCATTTGATGTCTGCGTGTGAGGGTGTGACATGAACAAAATAGGCTCTGTATGAAAACATAGGCGGGTTGCTGGGTTGAAACTCATTACGTCCCAAACAAGCCCCCGTCTTTTCTTTTGATTGCCCTACTCCTCGCTGGCCCACTGCCACGGGCCCTGATGCTGCCAGACAGTGCTTCATCTGTAATTTCATACACAGTCTCTAACACAGCAGCAGCTCTGTTAGGCTCAGTCCATTTCGTGTCAGCAAACTGTGATGTTCAGTCTCATTGCTGTCAGTGTGGCGGGGTTGGCCCATGCACCATAAAGTAAGATGCACAAGCACAAACGCTACATAGCCAGATCAGCGAATAATTAAATCAAGCCGGCTTGGTGATGTCTGTGTTGTAGTGTTAGCGTAGCATGATTGGCTGTTGCAGGACTGTAATAAGCAAGGCCTAGTTATTGCATTAAACATTTAAATATAAAATTTAAAAGAGGCACTGTACATATTGCTGCACGGGATTGTCTGTTTCGACTGGCAAATAAATACACCTGGACTGCATACTTGGAGCCACTCGGCCAGCATCACAGTCAGCGTCAGTGTTGCCGCTCGCTCTCTGAATCCCTCGGTGCTGCTGTCCCAAATGGGAAACAACATGGTTACTTTTCCTGCCACACAAGCACAGATCTTTAACAGTGCCCTTGAAAAGCTGAGAGAGCTTCCAACTGTATGTTTTTTCCCAAAACACATTAAAATACATGGGCAGGATTTCCACTCTCAAAGAAAATATTTACTACTAACTGCAAATTATACATTATATATATATATTATTCATAATGACCTTTTGAGTCCAAAGTAAGTAATTCGGTATCTGACCAACTGTGAAACATAGTTACAATCTTCCCTTTATAAGCCAAACATGTGTGAAGTTAACCTTTGACCTTTTGGGTGAAAAGTATTTAACGTTGTATTCCATTAAACATTTGTGTGAAATTTTGTCATAATTACCACATTAATTCTTGAGTTATGGTCAAAAGCCCGTTTTGTGAGGTCACAGTGACTTTTGACTATGACCACCAATTTCTAATCAGTCCTGCCTTGAATCTATGGAGCTAAATCTGGGCCAAATGTTTTGTTAATTTGAAAAAGAAAAAAACAGTTATAGAAAAACTAAAACTTATAATTGAACAAGTTTTGGTCTGAAACTTGAAAAATACAACAATA